CACTTGGACCTGGACCAAGTATTTCCTCAAGTCCTGTTCGACATGAACATAAAAGGAGTGAGCCAGATTCCCAGCACTGTCAGAGGGCTGAAAAATCCCTGCCACAGAGTCCTGGCCCCTCCTTGCCCGTGTGCAGGGCCTGGCTCGCCCCAGAGCCACACTTCCCTTCCCCACGGCACTGCTGGTCCACCACATGAGGCCGAACCACACACCTGGGCTGGCTGCAGCCTGGCTCCATCTGCATCCTACTGCCATCCCTGGCAGGACACGGGTACCCCTCTGGTGCCCCCAGGCTGCCCAGTGCCCAGCACAGGACAGCAGCGGCGCTGCCCAGCTCCTGGCCATGCTGCTGCAAGCCCCAGCTTGCTGCCCTGGAGGGCTGGGGAAGGCACGGGGCGGCTGTGTGGCTTTGGAGGCAGGAGCAGGAGCTGAGAGAGGTTTTCACATGGCAGCCCTGGAAGGGAGAGCACATCAGGCTGCGTCAGGCAGCCTCACCCTGCCAGCGTTTCCTGTCCCCCTCCATGCCAGCACACCAGGAAACCCCTCTGGCAGGTGCCAGCCCTCTCGCTTCCCACCCAGGCCCACTAACCTGGGCTTCCTTCCTCCCCTCACCACCCAGCCAGTCTTTTGTTCCCAGTACCCAGAGAGGTGCCCATCAGCTGCTCCCATCCAGGGGCCCCCAGGAAAGAATCTCACTAAGCATGGTGGTGTGAGGCTGGAAGACTCACCCTCCAGCACCTTCCTGCTGGCAGCATTGAGGGTCTCTCCTCTTCCTCAGCTGGCAGATGCTGGGATGGGCCACACAGCATCCAGCTCCCTAGATGCCAGCCCTCACCCTGGCTGCACAGCAGGGACTGTGCCTTGTAGCCTGCCTAGGCAAGGTGTCAGCACCCCAGCAGAGCCCCTCCCAGCAGAGAGGTGCATCTGCAGGGGTCCATGGTGGCACCTCTTTTGTGTGACCATCGAGCTGTAACAGCCTCACAGCTCACCCAGCACACAGCAACAAACACAGCTGAGAGCCAGATCATGCACCAGCACTGCTTTGCCCCCGTGCTCCCCAGCCCCACAGAGCAGGACCCCACTGCAGCCCTCAAAGCTAGGGTAGGATGCTTCCTTCCAGCCAGCTCCATCAGCCCAGGCTTACAGGAAGCAGTGGCCAAGGACAGCAGGAGCTCTGAGGCTGAGGATTCCTCTGGGGCACAGAGCAGCACAGGCTCTTCCCTTCCCATCAGACAGAGCACACCACCCTGCCGCGCAGCCCGACCTCACCAGAGAGCCCCCCCAAAGCTGGCTACATCCCCTGGGAATGTCCTCGCTGCTCCTGCCATGCCCAGGACGGCAGCACTGCCCAAGCCTCACCAAAGCACTGCTTCACGAGGCCCCTGCCCCGGGCTCTGGGAGGCTCCTCCATCCGACCAGACCCTTTGTTAAGCGCTGGCTCGCAGCCAAGGGAAACATTTTTTAGAGAATAAACTCGCTGAAGCCGTCTCTGCCTGCTCAGCAGAGATCAGCCGGCCCCGGGGCAGTGGCACTGGTGACTCCAGACTCACACAGTGCCCTCGGGGCCCGTGCTCCCTGCCCAGGTGCTGCGGAGATCCGTGCCCTCTGGGACAGGCATGTGGTGCCAGGGGCAGGGACTGTCCTTGGGGAAGCAGCCTCTGTGCCAGCTGCCCTAGCGCCAGCGGCACAGGCAATCCAGTCACATTCCAAGGCTTATAAGGCAATTGCGTGGCCAGAGCTGTGGCCAGCACCCGCCCGGGGATGGGGACCAGGGAGACCTGGCCTGGATGAACATGCCACAGGGAGTGGCTCACACCAAGGGCCACAACACAACCAGCTGTGGTACAACAGCTCTCGCTGGAGAACTGGGATGGTGGTGTGGATGGAGCCATATCCCAGTGTGGGTAGCAGTGCAGGCTTCCTCCTCTCTCTGCCCACTCCGGGGCCAGCTCAGGCACGGAACTGGGAGCTGTGCAGAGGAAGGGAGGGCAGAAAGGCACTAGCCAGGTCCTGGGATGCTGATCCCAGCGTTGGGGTGTGGAGTGGGAAGCCAGTCCAATAGCTCTGAGAGTGGATCCCCTCCCCCTGCGGTGGGCACGCTCCGGAAGGGGCCTCCCCTGCCCCCCCCCGGCAGCCAGGATGACTCTGCAGAGGCTGTGCAGCATTTCACATCTCTGCTGCAGTTCTCTGCCCGGAACACCCCCGTGCTGGGCTACAGCTGATAAAGCACCAAGGAGGCTACGTGGAGCCAGGCAGGGCAGGATGCAGCACTCCCGGGGCCCCGGCTCATCTGCATCCCCTGTATGGCTCTGCCTCGGCCACCTGGACACAGCTACCACAGAGGCACGAGGAAGGATGAGTGTCACCAGCTTTGGCTTCTCTTACCCTGGAGACGGAGAGTGGCATGCTGAAATCCTTCCCTCCCTGCAGCCTGAAGCCCCAGGGCGCTGGCCCGTTCAGCATCACCTTGTAGGACTCCATGTCGCCCATCTCTGCAAGGAAGAGGGTGTGATCCTGGCATTAGGGTACATGGGAGCAGTACAGGGAGAGAGGGCGAGGAGGGGCCTGGCGCCTGGCAGGGCAGGGCAGGACAGGAGAGGCAGGTCACGTTTCCAGCTGTAACTCCACCCTGACCATCCTACACTGTGGTTAGAGACGCACCCCAAATCCATCAGCATCTCCTCCAGCAACGTCAGAGCCGAGGGGCCCAGGCTAACACTGATGGGTGCCAGAGACCCAGGCACAGCCCTGCTGCCACCCACAGTGGAGTGTCTGTGGGCTTCGCTCTCCTCCCAACCTGGGATGTGCTCTCCCTTGCAGCACCCCAAGAACTCACACTGCTGGAAGCCAAGGCTGTTCAGACCGCATAGAAGCGACAACAGGTATGGAAGGATAGGAACCAGAAGCATTTTTGCCGGATGAATTGCAGCAGCAGCAGCGCAAGAGCTGCG